TGGCCTAGAGGCCCTCTCCTAAACAATTTGATAGCTATAATGATTTTCTCATTCAAATACGACTTCTGCAAAGGAGATGTAAACCTACGGCTTCCTCCGTCTTCTCTCCTTCATTCTTCCCCTTTTCTACTATTTCAATCACATTTCTTAACTTGTGATAAACTTGAATAAAACTCTTGAAGAATTACTTAGTAACTTTAATGAAATTAGACTTCTGAATATTTTCATAAATTTTAGTCACCATTGACACTATAGCAAAAATACAATAGTGTTTTTAATAAAAGTCAGGGAGAATGTTATTATTCTGACTTGTACACTGGGATGTGGAGAAGCAGAAATATTTCTGTTTTATGAACCTCACTGAAGAAGAAACTCCTGTAGGCACAAAATCCAATCCATCTTTTACTTTCATTTTTTCAATAGAAGCTTCATATTTCAACTACAGATACATGCTACTGATTTTCATTTAATGTTGACTCTGTTTAAAACAAGAACTTGCATTAAAGACAAGATTAATAATTTCACTTTTCTTGTATTGTTATCTGATGGTACCCAACTCTTTCCTGGATTTTCTGCATACTAACATGAGAGAGAGAGGATGTTTACTGATTAATCACATATGAATCAATAATATCTCCAGAAAATGCAATTAATTTGCAAAAATGTCCCCTTTTCTTTAAGTGTAGTTACAGTTAACATTTAAGTTTCCCTATAACCCCTGACATAGATAATAACTGAAAATAAAATTTCCCCAAAATTTATTAGAAATAATATTAGCTATATAAGAAAATCCTTGAGCTTAAGCTTATAGAAAATTCTTAAGCTTATGGAAAAGTAAAAAATTCCTTTCACTGTGATTAGATAAAATAATTTACCTAACATTTGATCAGAGTCCTCACTGTGCAGCATTTTAGTCTTTTCAATCGGTATTCGGGAAGTAGCTCGGTGAGCCAGGATGAAATGGATTACAATATTCCCCATATAATACTACTAAAAATGCCACCCATACTTAGCCAGCACTGATGCGGCATTCCTAAAAAATTATGCTGCGGTGTTTGCAAACTCTGCTTCTTGACAATTGTGTGATCTTCCACAAAATGACTTTTTGTCTGTTTCTCAGATTCTTCATCTAGATAACAGGGACTAAATGTATACCTCTGCCATGTGACTGCTTGAGAATTAAGTACATGTGTTTTCATCTGCACAGTGCTCTGACAAGCTCTCATTAAACACTAGCAATCACTGTGCTACAAACTGTGAGTAGTTAAAACCCATTGAATTTGTCCTGATATACAGTTCTGCTGTGTTCCTTATATTAAATTTTCTAAGCCTCAGGTTTTCATCCATAAAAGAATATTATCTAGATTTAGTAGGGGTAATTGGCAAAAGAAAAAATGTAGAATGGTTGGCTTACGAAAAACACTCATCAAGTATCAGTTGATATTAGCATAGCTGTATACATATGGAGAGTGCAACCCGGTAGATCCATTTACTCACATCTGTGCAGCCAGCAAACAAACAATTTTCAGCCCATTTCCTCAAGCCTCCTCTGAGACCATTGTTAGAACAGTGGAGTGAGTGCTTCAGTTGTCAGTTCTGTGCTTGCCTTACAGGACAGGCGTACTCCCTTTCTTTGCCAATACATGACTTCCACTCCTAAGGAATTATGCCTAGAAACATGACTTCATAGACTCTGAGAGTTTCACAGAGGCTGAGCTGTGGAGACCAAGCTCCTCATTTCACAGATGATGTCAGTGAGGCTCACCAAGGTGAAACTATCCCCCCAGAGTTCTCTAGCTATTTGGCCCAATTTCTTCTGGGAAGCTGGACTGACCTCAGCCTGTGCTATCGCCTCATCACAGTACACCTTGGGTTAGTTACTCAGATGTCTTCAGAGTGGCTCTCCAGATGTGGGTGTATGCTATACTTTCTCCACAGTCTGTATTTAGTGAAAGAAAACATCTTTAGTTCTTTTACTTTGAGTCCCTTCCAGATAAACATAACTCTTTTTTTTATTCAAATTGGTAAGCATTAACAGTAAAATCACAGCCTGTGCTATCGCCTCATCACAGTACACCTTGGGTTAGTTACTCAGATGTCTTCAGAGTGGCTCTCCAGATGTGGGTGTATGCTATACTTTCTCCACAGTCTGTATTTAGTGAAAGAAAACATCTTTAGTTCTTTTACTTTGAGTCCCTTCCAGATAAACTCTGTAGTGAATTTTATTCAAATTGGTAAGCATTAACAGTAAAATCACATTTTCAAGGAGACTAAAACTCTGTAAAGAGAAAAGGCATCTAATGTAATTTAAAATTAGAATCACATCCACTTATGTCAGTCTTCTTGCATCTAGATATTTCATATCCTTAAATATATCTCCCCTTGTTGTTTAAGTGTAGTTACGATTAATATTTGAATTCACCTATAACCCTGACATAGATAATAACTGAAAATAAAATTCACTACAGATTATTAGTAGTAACATAAGGTACATAAGAAAATGCTTGAGTTTTTCTTAAGTTTATAGAAAAGCAAAGAATTCCTTTCACTGAGTAGATAAAATAATTTATCTAGTATTTTTCAGACTCCTCACTGTGCATCACTTGACTCATTTCAATCAACATTCAGGAAATAGCTCAGTGAGCCAGGAGGAAATAGATTATAGTTTTTCTCATATAATCCTACTAACAATGCTGAAAGTGTAGTTTTCGTCCCTCTTTTCCCAGTTACCACAGTTCAAGCCAGTGTGCATACCATACTGCAATTGAAGCATCACTCATTTTCATTCACATTCAAATAAATGTTTCAATTACGCTGCTAAGTAACATGTGAGATAGATTTCCTCCGTGTTCCCCTTAATCATATAATGTCTCTGACTACCATTTCTAGGGATAATGAACAGTTAGAGAGCTGGGTAATCTAGGTTAGGAAGAGCCATAGGAGATGCCAGATTTAAGCTCAAAGAAACAAAATGAGCTAAGATGTGGGGGTATCTGTCCAGACAGCATTGCATTACTGGGTATTTAAAAATATGGTTCTGTAAGAGCTAATGTTAATCATACTAAAACAAATAAAATTTTATTATTAATCAGGCACTTTAAAATTTTTATTTATTTACTTCTAATAACATACAAAGGTTAGATATCATTGTGACATTTTCAGACAAAAGACATTTCAGAGGATTTTCTCTTTCATCTCCCCAGCCCCTGCCCCTGATCTTTCACTTGCAACCTCCCTCTGAATCTCTTTAGTTCTTTCATGTCAAATGTTTCTTTTTGCACTCTCCTTCCTCAGCACACCACTTTTTCTCTCTTGGTCTCCAAGCCAGCCATTTTGGAAATGAGAATAATAACGTTCTTCAGCGCTATTGAATTAGAACGGACTGCCAACAATACTGAAGCTCCTGTGGCCTATATTCTTAGTAGCCTACTCATTATTTCACTTGTCTTAAAAATCAGTCCAATGAGAAAGAGGTCGGTTCCCCCCACAGCATTCTTGCCACTGTGCTACATAGGCATATCTTGTCATCAGCCATCATTGAGATTCACAGGATTCACAGCTGCATAAGACTTTTGGTGACTTTTATCCCCAAGAGCTTGGGTAGCACATTCTGGAACTATGAAAGAGAGCCAGTAGGGAGGAAGAGCCAGGTCATTATCAGCATGATTTCTCTATGTCCCATCAGCAAAATATGTGAAGTTTTCAGTAATTTATTGCCATCAATTTCTGGTATTATATTTTGAGGGTCTCAAGGTTCCCCTTTACTAACAACTTGAAGAGGCACTGGGCTTTTAGCTTGATAATGTATTATAATTGTGAGGAGCATTATCCAATGAATCTATCTATCTATCTATCTATCTATCTATCTATCTATCTATCTATTATCTATCTAT